TTACCAACTACTCGTGAATTTAGTGCTGATGCTGAAGAACGTGCTAAGCAAGTTAAGAAGCTTCATGAAGAATAGCCAAAACCCCACTTTGGTTAGTTATTCTTCACCTTAGTGTGCTTTTATAACGTTGTCAAGATTGGTGGTTTACTTTAGTGGAGTTTCTAACCTCGTCACGCTTGGTGTCTTTCACAACACCTAAGTGTCTTTTACAACATCCCTACATCAACTTGCTTCACGTTTCATAATGCAAACACCCAATTGTGATAGATTTTAACAAAAAATGAAAACAATTTTGATTTAAAATCATTTATAAGATTATAAAAACATTTAAAGCATGTAGCAAGGCTTTCAAAGGCTTGATTTCAAAGGCTTTCAAAGCATGGCATCCACTTCAGGTTTCTTGATGCAAGCATCTAGTTCTTATTGATTTTAACCAAATATAGAGAAGAATTTGATTTGAAATTATTTGTAAGATTATAAAACCATTTGAAGTGAGTAAGAAGCCTGTCAAGGACATGATTGACTATAATGGCCTTTTCATGTCAATGGATGGCTTTCACTTTATGTTTCTGAATGCAATCATCCAACTATGATCTGTTTTAACCAAAAACGAAAAAGATTTTAATTTAAAATTATTTATATATATAATATCATTTACAACAAGTAATAAAGCTTCCGCTTTAACTAATTTATAAATGGCCATTGACAAGAAAGGCCATTATAGTTGGATAGATTATTTATATTTTTTATAAATGATATGATATTATTTATAAAATTATTTTTAAATGGCCTTTTCTTGTCAATGGCTGGCATTCGCTTCATGTTTCCGAATGCAACATCCAATTATAATATGTTTTAATAAAAAATAAAATGATTTTGTTTTAAAATTATTTAGAAGATTATAAAACCATTTAAAGTGAGTTATAAGGCTATTGAAGGCATGACTAACTATAAATGTACTTTTCTTATTAATGGATAGATTTCACTTCACATTTCTTAATGTAAACATCCAATTATGATCAATTCTAACCAAAAACAAAAACGATTATGATTTAGAATCATTTATAAGTTAATAAAACTATTTAAAGCATGTAACAAGATTTCTAATGGCTTAAGTGACTACAAATGGACATTTCTTGTCAACAGATGATAAACACTTCAGGTTTCCTAATGCAATCATCCAATATTAATTGATTTTAACAAGAAACAAAGAAGATTTTGATTTAAAATTGTTTATAAGATTATAAAACCATTTAAAGCAAGAAATAAGACTTTTACAAGGTATGACCGACTATAAATAAACTTTTCTTATCAATGGATAGGTTTCACTTCAGGTTTCCTAATGTCTAATTACTATATGTTTTAAGTAAAAACGAAAAGATTTCAATTTACAGCTATTCATAAATTATAAAATCATTTCAAGTAACTAATAAGGTTTTTCGATGGCAAAAGTGACTATAAATGGACTTTTCTTATCAATTGATATCATTCGCTTCACGTTTCCTGACGCAAACATCCAAACATGATTTGTTTGAACCATAAATGAAAAATATTTTGATTTGAAATCATTTATAAGATTATAAAACCATTTAAAACTAGTAGCAAAGCTTTTGAAGGCATGAGAGACTATAAATGGGAACTTTCTTGTTAGTAGATAGCATTCGCTTTATGTTTCCCATTGCAAACATCCAACTATGATTTATTTTAACCAAAAATAAAGAAGATTTTGATTTAAAATCATTTATAAGATTATAAAACCATTTAAAACAAGGAATAAGGCTTTCGATTGCATGAGTGACTATAAATGGACATTTCTTATCAATGCATGGCACTTGCTCCATGTTTCTTGATAAGAACATCAAATTAGGATGGATTTTAACCAAATATGAAGAAGATTTTGATTTAAAATCATTTATAAGATTATAAAACCATTTAAAGTGAGTAACAAGGGTTTTGATGGCATGACTTACTATAAATGGACATTTGTTGTCCAATGGATGGCATTCGCTTCATGTTTTCTAATGAGAACATCCAATTATGATCAATTTTAACCAAAAATGAAAAAGATTTTGTTTTAATATTATAAAATCATGAGTGAGTTACAAGGCTTTCAAAGGCATGAGAGACTATAAGTGGACTTTTTATGTCAATGGATGGTTTTTCTTTCACATTTCCTAATGAAAACATCCAATTGTGATTGATTTTAACTAAGAACAAAAAAGGTTTTGATTTAAAATCATTTATAAGATTATGAAACCATTTAAAGCATGAAGCAAGGTTTTTAATGGCTTGAGTGACTACAAATAGACATTTCTTGTCAATCAATGGCATATGCCTTAGGTTTCTTGATGCAAACATCCGGTTATGATTGATTTTAACTAAACAGAGAAGAATTTGATTTGAATTTATTTGTGAGATTATAAAACCATTTAAAGCTAGTAACAAGCCTGTCGAAGGCATGATTGATAATAAATGGTCTTTTCTTATTAATGGATGGCTTTCACTTTATGTTTCTTAATGCAAACATCCAATTATGATTTGTTTCAACCAAAAACCAAAAAGATTTCAATTTAAAATCGTTTATAAATTATAATATCATTTAAAGCAAGTAACAAGGCTTTTAATGGCGTAAGTTAATCTAAATGGACTTTTCTTGTCAATGGATTGCATCCACTTCATGTTTCCTAATGCAAATATCTAATTGTAATCTGTTTCAACCAAAAACAAAAAGATTTTGACTTAAAATCATTTATAAGATTATAGAACTATTTGAGGAAAGTAACAAGGCTTTCGATGGCATGAGTGATTGGAAATGGACTTTTCGTATCAATGGAGTACATTAACTTCACATTTCCCATTGGAAACATCCAATTATGATTGACTTTAACCAAAAACAAAGAACAATTTTATTTAAAATCATTTACAAGATTACAAAACTATTTAAAGTAAGTAATACAGCTTTCGATGACATGAGTGACTATAAATAGATATTTCTAGTCAATTGATGCATTTGCTTTATGTCTCCTAAGGAGAACATCCAATTATGATAGATATTAACCAAAAATGAAAAGGATTTTATTTTAAAATCATTTAAAAGATTATAAAACCATTTAAAGTGAATCACAAGGTTGTCGAAGGCATGACTGAAAATAAATGGGATTTTCTTGTCATTGGATGGTTTTCACCTCACGTTTTTTGATGAAAACATTCAATTATGATTGATTTTAACAAAAACCAGAAAAGATTTTGATTTAAAATCATTTATAAAATTATAAAACTATTTAAAGCGTGCAACAAAGCTTCTAATGGCTTGAGTGGGTACAAATGGACATTTCTTGTCAATGGATGACAAACACTTCAAGTTTCCCAATGCAAATAACCAATTATAATTGATTTAACTAAAAACAAAGAAGATGTTGATTTGAAATCATTGATAAGGTTATAAATAATTTAAAACGAGTAACAAAGCTTTCCAAGGCATGACTGACTATAAATAAATTTTTTTTGTCAATGGATAGGTTCTGCTTCTCATTTCCTAATGCAAACATCCAATTACTATCTATTTTAACTGAAAATGAAAAATATTTCAATTTACAACCATTTATAAATTATATTTTCATTTCGAGTAATGCTTTCGATAGCTCTAGTGACTATAAATGAACTTTTCTTATCAATGGATGGCATTCTCTTCACGTTTCATAATGCAAACATCTAAACATGATCTATTTAAACCACAAATATAAAAGATTTTGATTTGAAATCATTTATAACATTATAAAATCATTTAAAGCTAGTAATAAGGGTTTCGAAAGCATGAGTGACTATAAATGGACTTTTCTTATTAGTGGATGACATTTGCTTTATGTTTCCCATTATAAGCATCCAATTATGATCTATTTAAACTAAAAATGAAGAAGATTTCGATTTGAAATCCGTTATAAGATTATAAAAACATTTAAAAGGAGTAACAAAGCTTTTGATGGCATGACTAACTATAAATAGACATTTCTTGTCAATGGATGGCACGCGCTTCTCATTTCCTAATAAAAACATCTAATTATTATTGATTTTAACCAAAAATGAGGCAGATTTTGATTTAAAATCATTTATAAGATTATAAAACCATGCGAAGTGAATAATGTAACACCCCGTACCCACGTTTAGAAGTTAATAAGACTCTATTAATGAGAAGAAGGGTCGTTTGACATAAATCTAAGCGTTAGAGAATAGTAACAAGTAAAAAAAATATTTTTCAATAAAAAAATATTTTATAAATAAAATAATATTAAAATAGTAATATTTTATTTATCAGTGAGATTAATTAAGATAGAGGGTTATATGACTAATCTAAGTGGGGCAGAAGAAGAAAAGAAGAAATTCGGAGGAAAACAATGAAGTTAGAGGGAACCAACGTGTCTTTATGAAATAAAGCACAATCGGATAAGTATATATTTAAATATTATGGTGACACGTTAATGGGGTGCAAACATTATATTATATTTTCACACATGTCAAGAAAGGAAATAGAAGGAAATTGGAATTTAAAACGTGATGGGAGGACTTAATAAAAAGAAAATGAGAACTTAGGATGGCAAAATGGTGATTTTACTATTTAGCTTGGTCAAACCTTATAAAGGAAGCTTTGACTTTTGTCCTTGTCTCCTTATGGTCGGCCACCTATGTGAGCCTTTGTTAGAAATTTGGTACAAAGAAAGGAAGGAAAGGACGGGAGAAGGAACAAAGGGAAAGAGACAAGGAATGTTTCACATGTTGACCAAATAAATAGCTTTG